ACTGGCATAATATGTTTAACTCAAATAATGACATAAATAAAAACTATAATATATTTATTGACATTCTAACAAATATTTTAAATAAATGCATACCTAAAAGGATCGTTAGACTGAATAATAAAACCAAAAATCAATGGCTTACCCGGGGATTGAAAACATCGTGCAAAAATAAAAGATATTTAAAAATACTCGTTAATCAATCAAACAATCCTATTCTTCGCAAACACTATAACTTATATAAAAGAATTCTAAAAACTACGGTAAATAGTGCCAAGCGACTATACTATGCAACACGTATTAAAAACTCAAATAATATTATGAAAAGCGTCTGGAGAACAATTAGGGAAACTACTAATAAAACAACTATTAAAAGTAAACAAAACATAATGTTAACCATAAAAAACCGAAATATAGGTGACCCCACGCAAGTTGCAAATACGTTTAATAAATTTTTCGCGTCGGTAGGGGGTGGGCCTAGCTCTGGGTGCAAACGGATTATACCTATAGTGAATCAATCTGAGAACAGCATGTACCTGACCCCCGTCTCACCGCAAGAAATAAACAAGATAATCCGTAACTTAAAAAATAAACACAGCTTTGAGATCGATGAATTGCCCCCAAAATTGATTAAGATGTGTGCTGATGAATTAACATTGCCGTACTTCCTATTGATAAATCAATCTTTGCTTGAAGGTATTTTCCCGGATCGGTTAAAAGTGGCTATAATAAAACCGATACACAAAAAAAACTCTAAATCAGACCCAAACAATTACAGACCAATATCACTATTACCTACGTCGTCTAAGATATTCGAAAAAGTTATGTGCAACCGAATTTATTCGTACTGTGAAAAATATAAAATATTTACAGACTCACAAAATGGGTTTAGAAAAAATAGATCTACTACTTTAGCCGTTTATAAATACACACAAAAAATATTGGACATCTTAAATAAAAGACATTACGCGATTGGTTTATTGTTGGACATGACGAAAGCTTACGATAAGGTGCGGTTTGACATCCTTTTAAGTAAACTATACGGTATGGGTATTAGGGGAGTGGCGTACGAGTGGTTGAAATCCTATTTGCATAAGCGAGTCCAATATGTAGACATTGAATTTTTTGACCAGAGTACCAGTACAATACGCAGTATCAGATCTGAACAGCAATATATGACAGGTTCTATCCCGCAGGGCAGCGTGATTGGATGTTTACTATTTCTGATATATATCAATGACTTGCCTAAAGTTATCTCTGAACACTGCGTTTTGTTTGCCGACGATGTTTCACTTCTGACGTCATGTAGTACAGGCGACAACATTAATTCTAAAATTCATAACATTTTCACTGAGGTTGTAAACTGGATGTCTGATCATAAATTAGACATAAATTTAAATAAAACAAAAATTATGCAATTCCACCCACCACAAAAAACTCCACTTAACTTACGATATACGTATAACAACACGCCGATAGAAACAGTAAATAGTTTTACTTTACTGGGCTTAAATATAGACACATATATGAACTGGAAAAGTCATGTTCAAAAAATAAAAAGTAATATATCTAGTTTCACGTATGCACTGAGGGAGATAAAGAAAACGACTGACCTGTCAACTGCAAAGTCCGCCTATTACGCATATACCCATTCTCACCTAAGCTATGGAATTATGCTATGGGGAAATAGTGTAAACGCACTGGAAATATTTACCATGCAAAAAAAGTGTATCCGTATCCTTGCCAATATAAAAAGTACCGAAAGCTGCAGACCTCACTTCAAAGAATTTAAAATATTGACTCTAATTTCAATCTACATACTTGAAATATGTAAGTTTGTTAAGCAACACCCGGACTTTTACACCAATCGTGACGACATGCCCCAAAAATTCAATTTTAGACAAAGAAATAAATTGCTTCTGCCACAGTCACATCTTCAGATGCATAGCTCCAGCCCCTACTCAATGTCAATAAAAATATTCAACGAGCTTCCACTCATGATCCGGAAGGAGGATAAATATTCAACGTTTGTTAATAAATTAAAATCGTTCCTAATACATAACTGTTATTATAATTTAAATGAATATTTTAACGACAAACAAAAAATAATAACTGAATTAAATTTGACTAATAAATAATAAATCTTTACTAACTTTAACAAATCTTGACTAATTTTAACTAATCTTGACTAATTTTTACAAATCATGACCAATTTTAATAACTATGGGTACTTTTAATACGTATGATTAATTTTAATAACTAAGAATAATTTTTAATAACCTAATTTTAATACTTATGACTAATTTCGAGTCATTTCCAATATAAAGCCTCAGCCTACCTCTTATTGTTACCCCATAAATTGGGTTCATATGTGGAACTTTTTTAGTTTTAAGACCTTGTACATATACCATATGAATACAATGAATAAATGAAATAAATGAAATAAATGAAATTATAATATGAGTAAGCTAAGTCCCATATGCGTGTCATTTCAACAGCCTCAAAATCGGAACACGGTAAGGCTCACATTACAGCTTCGCAACCGACATAGGTAATTCCCTGGACGAACTGTTTAATATATTTTAATTTTACATTTTTAGAGAAAGTAACAGCTAAGTATATAAACAGTTACAATAATAAATATAGCTGGCCAATTACACGTTTCTACAAATAAGTTAACAGTTAAACTTTTAATTAGAACTGTGCAAACACTTCGACAGTGAAAAAAATCAATAAGAGAAATTCTTACTTAGGGTCGTATTCCAGAACTCTACTCAATACTCAAGTCAGGACTATAGTATTTCAGTGAGCACTGAAAATCATACTCAAGTCCTTGCCATTAGGGTAGTATTTCCAGTGCTTGAAATCATACTCAAGTCTGCTCAAATCCTAACTTGAGCATTGAGTACAGTTCTGGAATACGACCCGTAGATTACGTAGTAGGGAAAAGAATAAAAAAAACCCTGTTTTTATAATAATATCAAATCGTGAACGAACAAGTCGTGGGTCTGAGAGTCCATAACAATTGTAGTACCACTCAGAACTTTAAATCAGACAAGTTGGTAAGTCTCAACAACTTAGCAACTGATTACAGAGTAGTCGGTGGTCTGGAGAAGTATTGAAAAAGTGAATATTGTGCTGCTTCGCTATTCTGTTATAACACTCACTCGCTCCAATGAGAAAAGAATTTCGTCTATAGTTTACGTTCGCCAAAGGAACATGAAGTATGCTAGAATGGTGAAATAAAGCTACTGGAACACGCAAAACAACGTTACTGAGAAGCTCAGGACACTTGATCGAGCCACTTGCTACTTTGAATAAATACAAGACATCAATCATCCGCCTTCTTTATATATGAAACTTTCGGCACCGCTCATATTATAATAGTCAGAAATATAATGACTTAGTCCTAAAGTACAAATAGCGTAAAAAACGTTTCTGAATTCTCTCAATTCACACCAATTTTAATAATATAGTTAATAATATAGTCTTGCGAGATTGTTAGTATTTTAAAAAAACCCTGTATATTATACAAATTGGCAACTTCACACGCTTTCCAAGGGTTGTAAAGTCTCTTCGACGTTCAGGTTTTATTACGATGTTTTCTTTCTCTGTTAGCGAAATTTTGTATATAATAAAATATGAACAAATATTTGTTTATATAAGTACGTATATAGCCCTGAAGTTTATTGTTCGTTCTTCACAGAGAAATTTGCCTTAAGAAAAGATAAAATAAAATTTGTATTTCGTTACTTAAATAAACAAATTTATATTCAAGGTTTTGGTCTCAACTCTTAACTATAAGAATATACTTGTATAAGATCTCAGATTACAAAACATAAATCTGAGTATAAGGTATTCTCGCTTCTCTGTAACTAGTACGTAATAGCCATAAACAAGTAAGCTACAAAAATAAACAATAAAAATAAAACCTTAAAGAAAAAACAGTAGTGTTCAAACAATTTGACGATTTGAAGTGTTTTGAGAAATTTTTATTTTATATTAATTTAAGGGTACAAAATACCAACCTCTTTTTGTATGATCATTAAGCTAAAAATACTCTACAAGAAATTAGCAATAAACAAGATTTCTGCTGTTCTCAATGTTCAAAAGTTACTTTCTATTAGCTACAACAGAAACGTTGGTCTGTCAAATGTCAATACGTTCCCAGAAAAATACATATGTAGTTAAAACGTTAAAATAATTAGAGCGATAGCAAATACAACGTGTCACAATAACAGCGTTTTAGCTTTGGTATTTCCTTTGGCATTTAGCGCGATTGGGCTCCAGGTGTCCAAATTGAAAGAAATTTCAATAGATAAGAATAAATCTCAACTGTACTTGAAAACACTTCATAATTTTATATCGCCTACAGTAAATATATTTATCATAAATTATTCATAGAACGTGAAGGAAAATGGATTCTTATGTGCCTGAGTTTTCATGTCATTTTAATACACCCGCTTGATAACATGAAACATAAATTGCAATCATAAAATATTTTGCTCAAAATAATATGGATGACATATTATAATAATTCAGTAAACGATTACGAACATTATTTCATAGTAATGGTGAAATGGTCAACTCAGGCACAGTGGCAGTGCCCCTAAGATCTTTATAATTAAAAGCTCTTAGTGGCACTGCAACGGTTAGGCGTATCACTTACCACCGTCGCACGACTTGTTCGTCCCGTAGCTTATAAAAAAAATGTGTACATTTTAATGAGTTCGCATAAAAAAATAGTTATTCGAGTTAATCAACGCACGTTCATTATTATACCTACTATATTATGTAAGAAAATAAGTGTTTGTTTACCTCTGAATATATCGCAGCACATAAAAAAATAGCACCCAAAGTCGTTTACAACTTTTGACCATTGTATTTAAAAAAGGAAAAACAGTAATTAAACCTTTAGGAGCACGGCCGATTTATATTTCTATCGTCCATTATGGGCTATGGAATGACAGAGAAACTAGCAAGTAGCCACCCTCAGTAGCACCGCGAAAGCCTTACCGATTGTACACGTCTTTTGAAAGGCTCTACGGGAACGTACTTCGTGAGAGTGACGGTAATTTTTCCACAATTCATTTAATGAAATAAATAAAATATTTCTAAATGACGGGCTTAAAATTAGTTTTCTTTTTTTATTCAAATTTGTTTAGTGATACTTCTATATTCTATTTTTGAAGTTGTGTTAAATTAATGAAAGATTAAAATTTAATAGGAGATAATTTTTTTTAATTAAAAGTAAGTGCGCATTTGTCCTCCATCTCACCTGATGGAAAATGGCGATGACATCGACGATGGAGCACGCACACCTATATAATGCCTATTCACTCTCGCCTTGAAATTCACGGACAATTAATTACACAAAATGGTTTGAATAAATGTTTTAAATACATTTCATCAAAAACTAATTTCTTATTACCTGAATTTGAGAGCAAACTTTAAAAAAACCTTTAGTCGTAATTGAAAAAGGACATTTGTTTTAGAATGTGACGTACAAATATGAAGCCTTCTCTGATCTTTTAGACCACAAAAGAAAAATAAGACAACAATCAAATTGATATTACAAAGAGAGGAACGAAGAAAAAAACTTATTTTATGTTTTTGTTTTCCTTTGCCCAAATGAAATTGAGATTATATTCAAGTCGACCTAACCCACTAGCTATGAATGAATCATTACTTTTTTTGCAGACATCTCTAGACGTAGATCTCATTTTGTGAAAAATATGTACGGGTGGTTACTTGAGAGCGTGCAACATTTTATTGTGGTAAGTAAAGTTCTTCGCTTGTTTAAAACGAAGTAAAAAATAATAAAACTAATTTATAAAGTTGTTAGGTTTTTGAGATTGTTACACATTTTAAATACAACTATTTTATATCGGATCAAAATCGCGTATATCCGTTTTATCAAACATACATATATATATATAATTCAAACATACATATATAATTCAAGGGTGTTTTGCATTAATATTAGACAGATTTGGGTCTTGACGTAACCATTTCAGTCAACCATGACCTTAACAACCTCTGTGGCCGTTGCGATGCTGGTGTGATACGCAGAGGTTACGGGATCGATTCCCGGGCTGAGAGAAATATTTACATGGCCTACATTTATTTCTCTCATGACTTTGGAAACAATATGCATTGATTTACAATATGCGTTTTTTACTTTTTTGACGACCTCCATGATCGAGTGGCTTGCACACCGCTTTTCATGGTGTCGCCATCTCTCAGGTCCCGACGCAAGCACATAGAAAAATTCGTGAGGTCCGCAAGTTCATTCCGTGGCTTAGTTGGTATAGCGTCTGGAACGGTATGCTAGAAGACATCGGTTCGAATCTGGCCGGATCGGAGGAATTTTTCCCGAGTGTTCGATCTTTGTATTAATAATTATAAGAAACTAGTGGAGTATAATATCACAAAAAATAATTGAATATCAGTTCAATAAAAATTTAAAATTTATTTATTTATTTACTTAATAAATGTTAAGAATTTAAAGGAATTAAGGAAACTTATGTACAAATTTTTCCGGATTAAATATATTTGGCCAGTACGAAATTGTAGAGATATCTATAATAAACTTTAACCTGTACATAAATTTTAATGATCTTTCACGGGAAGTGAGTATTCGTTTTTCTTCGATTCTAAAAAAATACACTTTTTTGAGTTAATACGCTATTACATTAACAGTGCATTATGGCAATGGCAATATTGCGATAACCTAAGAACTCGATATGACATTACATATTATTGCAAATTTAGATTGAGTTCATTTGTTATATAAGATACATTTTTCTAAGAAATTCATCAAGTAGAATAAATTGAGCCTCAGCATTCTCGCGTTAAATTTTCCACATTAAATATATTATATCAATTTAATTCCCTATTTTCAGACATTTGCAATTGATGGAAGAAATGTGTACGTCAAAAGTGCTTTTATCACACGAAAATCATAAAAATAATACGAAGAACATGAAACAAATTAATGTATATATAATTATATAATTTTATTACTCTTCTATTTAAGCATAAAAAATATCGACTAATTTCGATTGTAAAAATTTTAAACCTCTCTCCTAAAAAGTTGTAATTTTGCAGATGAACCCTATTACACCAAGGGTGCGATATGCCGTTTATAAAGTGATTGAGTCCTACAGTTTTATTTTAATACAATTAAATTGTAGATAAAAAGCTCCCGAGCGCATTCAACATCAAACTTACATTATGGTTATACCCAGCCTTGGTATCATATAACTTGTCGAAAGGTTCAATATTAAACAATAGGACGACAAGTTTGGCGCGTCACGTTCTCTTGCGAAATGGAGGTCTTATACGACGTATTATATGAGTATCCTTCAATATTGATGGCCACTTCAATACGTATAGAGATAACAGCTTGCGTTAGAGCGGTTTTCATAGAAGCGAATACACTATTACTATAATAAAAGAAGTCGAAGAAACAAATTCATCAGGAAGATGGTTTAGAAGCCACTGAAGCAATTTCTAATAGCCAAAGCCGACGAATCATACGTTGTCGCTTGATTATTTTAACTAACAAAAACCTTAGGGTTTTTTTTACAATAATATATAGCACAGGTATTCTGGAACGCAGCTGTATGTATAAGATTTACATGAATCATTTTGGTTTGAGTCTCTATTCTTGAATGCAGCGAAGTATGGTAACTTCACACAACAGAGCAGCACGGCTTGTATGTGTTCACACACGCCACACGTTGTCGTGAACGTACGGACGCACACATCCACATAATCTCGCAGTGCACTTGCGTTGCATAGCGTTGGGTCGTCACACGCACCATTCGTTCTGCCCTCCTTGTTATAACTAACGTATTGCATTTCGGTAACTTTGGAGATATTGGCACCTAAAGTTTTGTTGTCATCTAAAAAATAGCCAATAATGATGATTTTGCTAAGAATAAAACTAAAACATACGATATAAAAAAAACTCATTAGAGGGCGTTGTAGAACTCTGATTTTCCTCGTCTCAAATGTCGATTACGTTAGTTATGATAAGTAGGACAGAATTATAGAATGGAAGCGTCAGCTCGGTGTTTAAAAAATGACATCAAGTAGTAAACGTGTTTATTGTTGTGTTTGTAGTACTTTGAACAAGAGTACCTCAAAGAATTGTTCAATATTATATTTCTATTTCATAACCATGCTCTGTAATCGAGGTACAGTCAAGAGCACGTCAAGCTTGACACTTTGTACTTTGGCTCGTTCTTATCGTAAACGGCATAGAATTGGATTTTAATCTTAAGTGTCAAGGTTGACATGCTCTTGACACTGTACTAATCCACGATGCTGGTATAAATATATGGCTAATTCAATAAAGCACCCTAATACTGTGATAAATAAAAATATAAAAAAGACTAAGTTAAAGTACATACGATAACAACAATATTTTCAACAACTCGACTGTATTTTTTATTCAACTTGTTTTTCTTTTTAGTAATATAATACTTATAAATAGTAAGTGGAAGGCCCTAGGTTAAAGCAAAATGAAATGTATTATGCAACTAATAGCGACTTTGTTAAGGGGTTAATTTCAATTCCCCAACTATGGATAAATATCAATAGTAAACACTCGATATTTTCTGCCTGTCTAGTTCATTCCCAATAGGTATGGACTGTCACGTCTGTCCACGGTAGTACGGTACTGATACTCTTTGACTAAATTCAACACTAAAACAAAACACTATCACTATTGATAGTGTTTTGTTTAGAACTAGTAGTTGCTGTGAATGTTCTTGTCTATAGATTAAAGTCGTAGTTTGAGGCTCTTATTCTACTATGCTATTTTTACCCCTGTACTGTACCGGTGCGGTGAGTGTTGTATTCTATGGATTTGTTCATTAATACACGAAGGGAATATTATCATCGTATAACAATTTCTACCACCCGTTAACATGTTAAATTTATAAGTAATAAAACTAATTGTATCCAACCATTCCAAGTCATTATCGTATTGTAACTGAAACGCAAACATATTATGTCTCATGTCGTACCTATAATTTTGTTTTTGCAGCAAGAATGCGGGGAGGAAGTATGGGAAACGATTTTGCGTGAGTCCGGCGCAAGAAATACCGTTTTCAGTATGCAGCAGGTAAGGATATACTCGCTATTAAAAATTTAAAATCAATGATATTTACAAAGTAAACTTAGACATTTTTTTTTCATGCAGCAATACCCAGACACCCTCATGCTCCGACTTGCTAGCGCTCTAACCCGCATCGTCACCAATGACCCCAACAGTCCTGCTACATCTAGACCCAACAGCCCATGTCCAAAGAAACTATCTTTCAAGATAAAACCAAGTTGGAGAAGTGCTTCAGTCCATACAGACAACAGAATCCAATTGCGGTGTCCTTTCACAGCTACTAACGCTCTTACAGCTGTCACAAAAAATGAAATCAATGCCTATAATTCCTCTGAAGAAATAGCTTCCCATGCTCTGTCTGTCGACAGAATCAATGAAGGGGTCGAATTCCAAATCCGCAAGAAAGTTGCTGTCAACAAAGATTTAAATCGAAGAAGTCTTGGATTCAAACTTGAAGACAAAAAAGAAGAAAACAAAAAGGTCGAAATACCCAAAACATGTCTAGAGTCTACTTGCAATAATCAAGATGTAAGCCCTAAAGATTCAGCGCCTACGTCGCCCTGTTCTTCCAATTCTGAAAGTACGAAAGTGAATTCCATCCTGAAGAATAACACCCGTAAAACTAGTGTCAATTTGGCCATGGATGTCTATAAACGCCGTGGGTCTGGGGTAGCGACCAGACCGAGATTTAACAGCATCAGTTTAGTCAGCTCTGATAGATTGAATACTCTTAAAGAGAAGTTCAGCACTCCAGAAAAGGTGATGCACTTTTTTGGACGATGTTTCGTAAAATTTTTCAGCAATTATGGGTAAGCTTATAAGATTTTTATTTGTAACACAAGCACAACATTTTTGAGTGATGTTTAGCGAATCATTTATCACGAATCCGATGAATATTGCCCTGAAATAGCCTGTCAGTGAAATTGTTGAACCGAAAAGGTTGATCAATGATCACGCCTTGTAATTCTCCGCGCTCGAAAACACCAATGGAAAAATTCGTTCACGCGCTTTACAAGAAGATTATCGGTTTTTACACGGAAATAGTTCCGTGTAAAATCCGATAATCTTATTATATATATTTTATATAGATAAAATCCCTTAACGAGATATACATAGAATTTAAGGCACTTAGGAACCGATTTCTAGTTGGAATGGCCAACTGAGGTTTAAGAACGTGTCGTAAAAAGTTTAGGTTGTGTGAAATGGTAAATGAAAACACCACATTCATTTACTTACTCATCACATTACCACATATTACTTTATAGTTACTGTGTCTAGTATCGGAAAGTTTATATATTAGTCACATCTGCTAAATTGATATTCCATGAAATTTAGTAAAAATATCTAACATCCCGATGACAAAAAGGCAGGAATGGGATTAATTTCATATACATAGATTACTGAAATTATTGAACAACGCCAGAAAGTGAAAGGAACTTGCGTGATAAGCCAGGGAATCTTTTTAGAAGTAATCTACCTGTCTTCAGTATTCCTCGTTTCTTTTCCTAGCTACGACACAATGATCCGCGCCACAGGCCGCTATTTCTGCACATTTCTGCAGTCTGTAGACAATATCCATCAACGCATGCGGTTCACTTTCCCGCGCATGCGTTCACCGAGCATGCAGCTAACGCGCGCACACATCCACGGCGCTGAGCTTGTTTACAGCAGCACAAGAACTGGCTTCACACATTATCTTATGGGTGAGTAAAATTAAAAATGAACAAAATACGATTTTCTTTTTGAAGTCTTTTTCTTTTGTTAATATCTACACAAACCATTTTTGTACTACATGGTTTAGGGAAATTAAAAAAAAAAATACTGCCCACATCTGACTAAGTTCAGGGCAGACCTTTGGATGTTAAAAAAATATTTATACAGTTAACTAATTTCATTTTCCAGCCATGAGCAATAAGGTTTTATCTCTCGCTACCCACATATCTGTGAAACGTCTCATCAAGGAGAAGTTACGAACGATCAGTTATCTACCATAGAGTTCTGTATTAACTCACGCACGTTTCGCTGCTGGGTATGGTTCCCTTTAGTATGGATTAGGTAACTACCGTATCAATGAAAGATGGAATTTGTGTCATAATTATATTTCTTTGCTTCGATAAACTCTCTTATTTATTTATTTATTACCTAGATTCTAGGTAACATAATCAAACTCAATTAGAAGTAGTAATGTAAGTATGCAATGTGTTACATGTCCGACCACACACCATAGGCTAATAACCACAGACATATATTTCTGACTTCTGATTTACTGGTAACTTTTCTTTAATCTATTAAATTATCGAGCCATTACCGCCGATTTAATGGAAGCAACAAAAACTAATTTTACAGGAGAGGGTTTTTTAATATATCTACATATAAATGTAATACTAAATTTAATTTTAATATAGGTACAGCAAAATTTTTTATTTAAACAATGGATGTGTCGCCTCATTTGCTCTATGTACTGGTATCGGCTTAGTCGATTTGGGTTGACATCAAGTACAGGATGTTAAGCTATTTTTGGCGCTTAAAATATTTTTGCTGTCTCTATCTAAAACGTTTTTGAGGCTTTCAAGCGTTTAAGGCTACACTTGCGATTAATAAAAAAAACCGACCTCGAAATTTATTTGTCACGTTTTATTGCAATCCGTTACCGGAAACTGCGCGAAACCGGATTCATCTCCTAATTTGCCACCCTTAGAGGTGGAATAGTTTCTTCAAATTTAAATGGGACCAATAATGAGGTACCCTCTTTCCAATAAAAAAGGATCATCAAAATCGATTCACAAATGCCGGAATTATCGCGTAATAGACATATGTACATACAAAAAAAACATACAGTCTAATTGAGACCCCTCTTCCTTTTTTTGAAGTCGGTTAAAAACACGGTTTTTTTTGTCACTTTGTTTATAGTAAACAACGAAATTGTGATGTACCATGCCGGTTGCGATAATAAGCAGGGTGTCGTTTATGTAATGACTTTTTAATATTGATTCTATCGGTTACAGTAAAATACGTATAAAAAACACTTGAGCTAACAATAAACTTAGCTTTTGCTATAATTTCTATTTTATGTAATTTGGGCGGGAAATGTTGACGCGTTATTGTTCGTTATAATTTTAAAATGTCATTTGCAATAAATAACGGTGTTTGGGTAAAAATGTCGGCGGTCATGACTTGTTATAATGTAAATTATGTAGCATTGCCCTAGAATATGGTGGAAATAACTTTCGATGACGAACATCAGCAAGTAATACTGGCTGTGATGTCGATGCATGCTGTATTGAGGCTGGACGACTTAACATTTAGAACTTGCTCGTTTATTCGTTTGTTTCCATTATTACAGTTTAGTACTTAAGAGATAGACAGGCGGCAGCAGCATTAAACCCATTTATTTACAATGAACACCTACTGTGACGGCGGGGTTGGTGCCTTTGAAAGACCTCCACGACATTGACCGGTGATCGAACATCTCGGATTTTCCTTCAATATCTCCCCGGCCATATTCAAAATCCCAATTTTAAACCTCCGCTTTTGATCCGGAGTCATGGCTTTCATATCTGGCAGCACACTTTTAAGGAATGAGAGATCTGTGTCAAGTTTTACAGTCTTCCGTTTAATCATTGGTGGTTTTTCTGCTTCTGTGGCGTCTTGTAAAGCTGCTGCCAACTCACTGCCCATGTATTCACTTGATAACGTTGGGTCCACAGGCACGACAAAACAAGAATCCGCTTGCTGGTGAGATTGTGTTGATTGATGCGGCCATGGCCACTGAAGTGACTCATCTGCATGCAATTCCTCAGAATCATCATGTCCGTCCGCATCATGAGTTTCGGTTTTCAAACTCTTCCTAAATAACCTTTTGTATGGCCGTGCTTTTAGGAAATTGTCCAAAAAACTTAGATACGGCGCTAGGTAATATTCTTTGACCCGTTTAGCTAACTTATCTGTAGGTTTGGCTTTCGCTTTTTTGTACTTTCCATATCTCCCTCTTATGTTCTTCCATCGCTCTCTGCAATCGTTTTCTAAAATAAGAAAATAAATAAATGTAATAATAACATAAAGATATACCGCGTTTATAGGCCGCATAAAACCTTGAGCGTTTACTCGACCTTTTGAAATACATTATACGAAAGATTGCTCTGCCTATCGTTGTTTTAACGTCCACTGCCCTTTCTTCAATCCACAAAAGGAAATAACAGGGACAAAAAACCGGCAAGTTTCGTAGGAATTTGTAAAAAAACATTGCTGTTTCAGACAGCTAATGCCATTATTTGTAAGCGGCCTACAAGGGTATTACTTGAACACAATGTCTAAAGTTTAATTGCGCCCTTTTGAATCATCCCGTATTAAGATTTGTCACGTTTGTCACCTTCACTTTCCAGATAATAACAATATAGTAGTAGTTAGCCTATGTATAGTCCTACAACTGGGCACAGGCCTCCTCCCACAAGAGGGTTTGGACTGTAGTTCCCATGCGGGTCCAATATGGGTTGGGAACTTCACACACACCATTAAATTGCTTTGCAGATGTGTGCAGATTTAATCACGATTTTTTTTTTCATCAAAAGCTCATGGTATCCGAACATACTGAGATCGTCCAATGGATAAAAACAAATATGAGAGATATATGTATTTGAGAAAATTATTCACAGTACTTAGGTTACTAACTAATGCAAATAGTTGGTCAAATAGTGGTCAGACGGCGAACAGGAGGAACGGCGGCATACCGCCTTTGAACATAAACAAACAACCGACATTGCAAACAAATGACTACGCCACTGCCGACACACGTTCGTTGGCCTTCGGCAATCATCGGTTGCATCTACCCAGCCAATGATAAAACACTCACCCGATTCCTGCAGTTTGTTCGCGATGATTCGCCATATTCTCGACTGCACATTCCTATTGCAATAGTCTGACCGATTGTAGTCATATAATGCTGGATACTGTTCTATTATTTGACAAAATGCGATATTGAAATCAATATCGTCACGCATATCGGACTCCTCCGGTTGAAGCGACATGCGTTCCAGGCGACTCGCCACGTCAGACTGAGGGGGGACGTGGCGAAGGCGCGGGCGCGGGCGGGGCGGTGAGGCGCCGTACGTGACCGCGCCGCGTCCCCGCTCGGTACACTTGTTTAGTAAAGTGCCTCGACAGTTTTTGACGCGACGAGTAAAGGACAAGCCGTAGACGTGGCGCTGACTTCACTTAAAACTTACCAAATCTGTAAAATCCGCAGCCCGCATTGATATAACGTGACTCACTTCGATATAATATCCAATACTTAAAAGAGAACCATGTCTGGCAGTGAAACATACGAGAGTATTGATGCCGTATTATGTACCGTAAAATTACAGCAATCATATAATTACGCTCTAATGTTTAGAAGATTAACTTTTAGATTAAATTACATAAAAAACACGTTTTTTTTATATATTAATAATTATATTAGTAATAATCAAAAATTGTTGGGTATCGACCGATCGACGCGGACGGGACGTGGTAAGACATTTCTCTAAGCGAGTGTACATTGAGTCGTACATAATTTATTATAACATGGGGGCACAGGAGGGGCACGGGCGAGGTGCGGGCGGGGCTCGGGCGGGGACGTGACAAGCAAAGCACACCGGAAAAGAACGAGCCTTGACGAACGTGCACGATGTCGTCGCCGCGCCTCGCGCCATTTATCAAAAAATTGCGATATGGAAAGGACAGAGTGGCGCGCGGTCGCGTCAACGACGCGTCGTAGCTGGCTGCCGCACGCCGCCGCCCCGCCGCGCTATCTCGTTACAACATTCGATCCGTCCAGTTTGACTTGACTCTTATTAAGTTCCTTGATGTACTCGGAATACGGATCAAGTAAGGGATCGTGTTATGTTGGACAGAGAATGTCTTGTAGATAGGGCGCGGCGGCAGTGCCTTGCCACATCGCGTTTGCGCCTCGGCTCCGTCCGATGTCGCTACTATACACTTTCTTGTTTTTAGGACAAATAACAATTTCTAGAATGAATTATTCTTCTCACTTATTCTTCTCATGGTTATTTGACACGGAATCGCATTAAATCGATCTTAAAAAGTTTTTCATATAAAGCCGAAAAAGGCGTGAGTTTTACTTCGGCGATCTATCTTTTTGCTCTTATAGCATAAATATAAAACTATTTTAACCAGCTCAAGCCAATTCCCCCAATTCAGCTTTAATAAATGTGATGATTCCCTTACGAGTGGGTACGAGTTTTTTATAATAATTAAATTTGTTTACATATGAAATAAAGATATTTATATTTGAATATACCTACATTTTTTGTGTGGTATTTTATTGAAGTTGAAAGACGAAATTAAATCTTAAATAATTTTATTCTACAATAGTAATACTGAATACAGCTTGTATAAGTCGAACCTAACAGAAGTACCTGGAGTTACCTATGCGATACGGAGGAAAAAGCACTTTATGTTGCAGATATTTTACTTCATTGAGACATTGTTCTATTTTTAAAGGTATGTAATACTGCATTTAAAGACTTAAGATGCTTGCCACATCTGGAGTCGAACCGACCAAAACATTAAAAAGTCAGTATTTTTATGGTGTCGATCGTAAGGCTTAATTATAAGGATTACTTCCTTAAAAGTAACATAGTATCTTAAATTTAAGGAACACCGTGAAATTTTACACTTATGTTTAAGAAAATTAATTATAATATACATATGTACATACTATGCCTTTGTAACGTGATATATACTCGTAGAAATATCGTTAATGTATATGACATAGTGATCACACTGGAACAGAACATAAACTTACATCCACTTAAAGTAGCAGTAGAGCTCCTTGTGAAAGAGTTCGTCCAGGGAAGTACTGCCACCTTACCTATTTCTGCCACTAAGCGGTAATGTGAACATTACTGCGTTCCGGTTCTGAAGGTGCTATGCTGGTGAAATTATAGGCACATGGGACTTGTCAATTTATGTCTCAAGGTGACGGGCGCAGTAATATTATTAAATTTTCTACTTAATGCCCATATGCACAATGTATATACCACGGTGATCAGAACATAGTCTTATCTAATTTCTTCATAATTTTGGCATACGCAATGAAGCGATATATATATATATATATACATATATATATATATATATATATATATATATATACATAATCTCGAAAGCTAGCCGGTCCATCTGCAATAACTCAAAGTTTATCGAAGTTTCATTATCTCGATTGTTGGTTACCTTGAACGTATATCATTATTATCCTGATATATGTAAAAAAAATCTCAACAGGTCAGCTGTACGAAATTGCTGAAGACCTTTTTTCTTTGAAGCTGAAGATGTCTATCGTGAAGGAGAGCATGGAAGGAAGCTACTACGTTGCTGTGTTGCGGCTGGAGTTTGACAATAGTGATTATGTGAGATAAACTTATATTTTACCCTTGGTATAATAAAGTCACATGTGATCATGTATCTGCTACTACTAAATAATATAGTTTTTATACATTATTAGTAGCAGTAGAAGTCCAAGTGAAAGAATTCGTTTAGAGAAGTACAGTCACCTTAGCTATTTCAGCTCAATACTGCGTTCGGGTCTTGAAGGTACGGGTGTTGTTGAAACTAAATCACAAGCACGTGGGACTTGTCAACTTATGTCTCTGAGTTACAGACGCAATGACAGTGCCGCTCAAATCGTGGCAATTTAAAGCTCTGAATGGCACTATGGGTCGTATTCTAGAACTCTACTCAATGCTCAAGTCAGGATTGCACTGGAAACACAAGCACTGGAAATACGACCCTAATAGCAGGGACTTGAGTATGATTTCGAGTGCTTTAAACCATACTCAAATCCTGACTTGTGTATTGAGTAGAGTTCTGGAATACGACCCTATAACTGCTATGGACAGGCTTGTCGCTTACCACCTGGCGCACGATTTGTTGTCCCGTCTCTTGTATCATAAAAACAAATCTATATCTTATAAAAATTATAGTTTATCACACTTTATTTATATCAATTTTTATACATTAAATCAAAAAGTCCACTGCAATTTCAATACTTCGAGACTCCCGCCCTTCGAGCGGACGGCGGGAGAGCAAAAATAAAACAAAAACTCATTAGCGCCCTAAGGCCGTGTGATCAAAACATCGTCCCGATTTGCTGCACTACTACCCCCGAGCAAGTGTAATGAAAAATATTTACACATCAAAAAATATAAAATTACTAAAAACCGTAGGTGGGTAATTTTCAGATTAGTTGTCTCTACCTAATTTTGGTGGCAATTTTTATTATTTAGGTATTCGAGTATATTATCGTAAAAAATTAAATAATATTTCAGGATACGACACTCGAATATTAAATAATACTTCATGATGACATTCTAGAACACATTAAATAATCACAATTGCCACCAAAATTAGACGGAGAAAACTAACCTGAAAATTACCCAATTATATTATAATAAAAAGTAAAAGGGTTTTTATTGTCTTTGTTTCTGTATTTCGATGTTTTCAACGCAGCAAAATAATTACATTGATTAATTTTGCATAAAAAAGCGCTAAATATTCCCTGAGTTTAACTGCCTCCGTTGCCGAACGTATTTCGCTTGTGAATTTGGTTGTAATTTGTGGTTGTTTATGTTTATGTCCATGGCACCCGGGATACAGGGTTTCCCTAGTGCGGGGCTATGTATGTGCGATTGTGCGTTTATAAATACATCAAGATCGGAAAAACAACGTAAACAGCGAAAAATGAAAACCTCCTTTTTCTAAAGTTAAACAGAAATAGGCAATATGTAACCTACCTAGACAAGTACACTCACAAACAATTAATAAAGTAATTGCTTTTATTACTTTTTATAGATTTCCGATGTCGAATTCTATTACCCCTATAAATATAGAGGACAGCCTTTTAGGATATCCATTTCGAGTGTTTTCCTGTTAGAATATAAATGAAGGCTATTGAGCTTCTTCGTATTTTGTGGCTCATTACCGTAAAATTGGATGTATAACTAAAGCTTTAAATACACAGCTTGATGAAAAATTATTATACTAAAGGTACTACTTGGATGCGTCCTTGAATGACAAAAATTTGTGGTAGTTCCAGTTTAGCTCTTGCCCGTAGTTTCGATCTTAGATTTAGTTTCCCAAAGTGGTCCCTACCGCCCCAGGGCGCGCTGAAGAGTTTTAGGGGGGTAGGGGTAGCGGTTGGAAGCAATTTGGGGGCGTTGATGTTGTCCAGGGGGTGCTACCGCATTTGAAAAAATATGAATGAATTATCTATATAAACCACACTATATAATAATAAATTATATATAATTTTTACCTTTTTACATTACGTACGTGTTTTCAATTATTTTTTGTGGTGGTGGGCGTTGAACCAAAAAGTTTGGGAACCTATGATCTGAGGTCTTTAAATTATTTATTATTTTATTTCATTTATTTAATGCACCTTTCAATAACATTATCAAATACATACAGTGCTGTAAAAACAATAACTGGTATGGTGTGACCAATAACGATAGTAGAATTTTAAATATTATAATTATAAATGTATTCAAATGTATTATTTACAAACAGCAACCCCTAGGGTTTCTTGCCGATTCTTCTCAGGGGAATTTGCCTTACAATGAGTTTAATCAGTATGATAATTTCAAACGTATTTTGCTTACTTATGAAATAAAGATTATTCGACTTTGGTATTCAAACGTCCATATTTTAAATTAAATGGAAAATTTTCAGAAAGTAGTCTTTTAACTTACGTTTTACATACTTTTCCATGGTCCAAGTTCACAAATTATGTCGTTGGCGTTGCCTAGTCCTGTACTTTCAATTTGTATTGAATGGTTTTGTAGCGCCTTTAGGAGAATTGATCGTCTATTGTTTTCATCACATTGTCTGCGTTCTTGACTTTGATGAGACACCTGTCATGAACGACGTCGTGATTAGGTTATCTAGCAGTGGCGACTGGTCTATATAATAAGATTTTCATCGACTACTCAACATCTGCTACTAAATTGGATATATTTATACTCCAACTCAGTAGCAGTAGAAATTATTCCAAATCGGCGCCTCCACTACTTGTAACGGGACATAGTCGTGAGATTGCGTAGCGAGAGGCACTTTTTAAAGATAAACGAGGATTATATTCATGAATTTTACTGCTAAAAATGAAATTTACTGCGTGTTATCAGATCGAAGCTTGTTCTAAAACAACCAAGATATATTTTTTTTTTCAATCCTATTTTTTTTATATAATTCTAAACACAAACCTACATTCATTCAGCCAGCACTAATACAAACCATAATGCATAGTCTGCAGTACCTTCTATACCGACTTACCTTCTTAAAATAATCTTTTTTTTATGATTGTTGTTATTGGCTCATAGCTAGCTCATTCACGCGATGTACGACTGGAGAGAAGCTACCGCTCTTCAGAGCATACTGAGCTTCTACACGTGTGCTCTATGGACCAACTGTACACTAGGATCGTACAGTGCCTTGCGAGTCCAATACAATAACACCTTCAGGGCCTTGTTGAGGCTCCCCCATTTCTATGGTGCACCTGCAGTGTTCGCAGATGCTGCTGTGGACAATTTCTATGCTATTATGCATAAAATCAATAGTACGAAGATGATAGACGAGACCCTGAAGATGATAGCAGACAGGATGGATGCAGCACTGTTCCGGAGGTTCACTGAGTTACATGTTTTTCGTGTGAGTCAGTGAACTAGCGGAGAGACTGGATTGGTCCTGTTTGATGTTATGTAATTCATCAGCCTGTCGAGTGACTGTACCGTACTAATACTAATACTAACATTGTTATAAGGTATGTTATGTTACTAACTTACTAATTTGTATGGACTATGTTATCTGAAAATAAATTATTCTTATTTTATTTTATTTATAATTATTAATACAAAGTTCGAACACTCAGGAAAATTCCTTCGATCCGGCCAGATTCGAATCGACATCTTCTAGCATACAGTGCAAGACGGTATACCAACTAAGCCACGGGACGAACCAGCGGACCTCACGAATCTTTCTATATACTTTGTCGTAACCTTGTACTTGGTTTTTCAACGACTTTTTAGCTAAAAGGTATCTAACGGGGTGACGAAATACTTTCATAAGATTTCTCATACATGGCGCTACGGCAGCCAGACCTTCGCTGGTTCGTTCCGTGGCTTAGTTGGTATAGCGTCTGCCACGGTATGCTAGAAGACGTCGGTACGAATCCGGCCGGATCGAAGGAATTTTTTCTGAGTGTTCGATCTTTGTATTAATAATTATAACAAACTAGTAGAGAAAGTTGTCATAAAAATAATTGAATATTTTATTTTATTAAGTTTTAAATCGCAAAGTTACGTTTTAATTCGCCACTGATATTTAGTTATAGATTTAGAGTTTTTTTTACCATCAAAACACTATTTCACCTCATTAGCTCGTAAAGGCTTTCTTTCTTATTAGAAATCTGCGCGCAAAAGCTAGCGTGGAAAAGGTTTTATTGAATTTCGTACTTGACGACGGACTGTGGTGCTCCTAACTTTTTCTTTCGATAAAAAAAAGATAATGACACGTTCAACTACGCGATTTGTCGAACATTATTTATGTAATATAAATTCGTTGGTATATTTTTTCTTATTATTGTTGACATTAAATTAACAACGATACCTAATTTTGTTTATTAAAACTGATTTGTTATAGTTCAACTGTTTTTCTTTCATCTACAATTTTCCTCGCTATAGTGAGGTGAAAAGTTAAGTTTCGTTCGGCAGCAAAGTTGTTGTGCGTCTCATGGCTTGAAACCCTCGCTACGCTCAGGATTCAATCTAAGCGTCGTATTCTAGAACTCTACTCAATGCTCAAGTCAGGATTTGAGCAGACTTGAGTATGATTTCAAGCACTGGAAATACGACCCTAATGGCAAGGACTTGAGTATGATTTTCAATGCTCACTGCAATACTCAAATCCTGACTTGAGTATTGAGTAGAGTTCTGGAATACGACCCTTAGCAACCTTCGCTTGCTCAGGTTTCAATACAAGAACTCGCGTCAAACAACAACTTTGCAGCCTTGCATAACAAATAACTATATGTGCCAATTTCTCGAAAGTACCAAAGTACAAATGCGTTAGTTTTGACAAGGAGGGCAGGTAGTTGAATGACGTACTCATAATTAACATTGCCAGGTGCAATCTCTAATGCTGCGTAAGAACCTGCCGTGCCCACTGCCGGCCGTCCCAGCGTCACTGCTGCTGCAGTTGTTCCCCTTTGGGGTGCTGCTTGATCGGAAGATGAAGATACTTAGCGCTGGAGACAAGGTATCCTAAGTATCCAGTTTTATTTTTATGCAACTTATAATATTTGTTATAACCCACTGTATACGGCATCACAAGACTCCCAATACCATACTAACTGTTTGACTTTTAACTCTATTCGACTCTTAAAATTTCACACCAAAATTTATTGACGTCGAACTAGTTACAGCTGCTTGATAATTTAGTCGCATTCCACTTCTATGTTTTGAAATCAACTGTGATTGCGACATCGCTATGATTGTCTAAAACTTTTATTTTCTTAGGAAATGAAACTATTTTTCCGGATTTAAATCGCGTATATTTGTTTTTTCAAACAAACCGACGTTTCGGGCCCTTTACAGGTCCCATGGTCACGGTTGACTTTTATTTTCCTTTAACTTTATCCGATGTTCGAAAATGTAAGTGCTAATTAATACCTGAATTTAATGCTTGGTTTTAGCTTGTAGAAGCTTGGGGAGGTCCTTTTAATCGCATACAGAAGTCACCCATCGGCGAAATACTACGTCTCAGGAAACCGAAGGTCTCTTTTACTTGGGATAAGGTGAGTCATTACTGGATATACCCCTTTGGTGTTATTATTGCCTAGAAGGAATGAATTATTCATATAGGCCTTAGGTCTCTCCACGTATTTAGTCATTCCAAGTGTTTTTTTCGTAGGTGGTGTGCATGCAAACGATGTTATTCGAGCTGGAACTGATGCGATGGCGAGCCAGGACGGCGGGAGAATCGCGTAGGGGATCCCAGGGCGCCCGCGCCATTTTGCTAAAGGGACCTATTTACTTCCTTGAACAAATCGACGCGCTTATCTTCTTATGCAGTCCGATGTGAGTTTCATTCCTAATTGCTATGTTCTTATATAGTAATTTCCTACTAAAGTAAACCTATAATTCCTGCTGTGACATGCCTAAAGATGTACAATTGTACTTATGTACATTACATGTTTCAGTTTTAACGACCTAGACGAACTTCGTCAAGCTGGGCTCTATCTTGCAGACATGAACGGACACGGCCTATCTAAGGAAATGCTGCTCCAAGGTTGGCAACATCTATCCAGACTTGAACTCCTCTTCGAAAAGGCCGAAACCCGAAGTCTTTCACTAGAAAAGTCTTGTAGATTGAGAGATCAGTGGAAAAAGAGAGGAGACCAGTTGTTGTATTCGATGATACCAAAGCCTATTGCGGAACATCTGAGGGCTGGGAAAGATCCTATGTCGGCTTGTCAGGTGAGGCTTTACTAATTCCGGGAAGACAGAATATCGCTACACAATTATTTTTAATAAGTACATATGCATGTTAAGGTCAGTCAAAATGGCGCCCAGTATGGGACCAACACTAAATTTGAAACTGTGCAAATAGATGACTAATTGATTAAATTTTTATTAAGTAACTTTATTTAAATACCCCAACGCACTGTAGTACTGTCACCTTACCTATTCCTGGCGCCGGGCAGTAATGTGGGCATTACTGCGTTCCGGTTTTAAAGGTTAAGGGTGACGAGCGTAGGGAGTTCCCGTCAGGTCTTTGCGATTTAAAGCTCTGAGTAGCACTGCAACTGTTGGACAGGCATGTCGCTTTCCACCAGGTGATCGACTTGTTCATTCCGTTACTTGGCATCATAAAAAAAACTAGAACTGATTAATTCACGACTTTGATACCTACATATTGATGCAATATTGGGTTTGATTTCAGGCCTACGACAGTGTGACCATTATGTTCTGCGGGCTGCAAATAGCCGAAGCGGGCACTAGAGCTGACGTCATGCAGACTGTGGCATACATGAACGATGTGTATTCCAGGATCGACCGGCTGCTCGATTCTCATAGAGTTTATAAGGTAAGGAGATGTATAAGGTCCTAAATACATTATCCCAAATATGCTATGCGATTTAGTTTACAAAGTCGGCAACTTGAAGTGGTAATAAGTTTGCTACTTTGTTTGTATACAAGACCCATCGAGTCCCATTTATTCCTGGTAACACATTAGCGATACAGCTGTTATAAATATCAACTCCCGTTTGCACTGAAATATAGACAGGCCAACCACTGACCTGTGTGTACGTCTCCGTATATTCCAAAAAATATTCTGTATTAATTGTAATAAAGATAATATCTCTAACAATGCCGTGCTGTTCTATTCGGTGGTGTGGGAAAAACAGCAAAACATCTAATTACAAAACAAACGGAATCACATTTCATCGGTAATTAAATATTAAATATGTAATTTTGCTATTATCGTCCATTATAGTTAAGCTCAAGTTAACTGGTCGATTTGAAGTTTTTTTTTTCGAATTGTTTCGAACTCGGGCTAGCCAATCGGAGCGCAGTTGTCACAGTAATGACATGGCAGAATAGTTTTCAAACAAATTAAATGACATTTGTCTCTATGTATGGTTATATACTCGATGATATGACCATTGCTTGCTCCTTATTCAACATTACTTATATTCTGTATATCTAAGTGCTTTTGCAAGTCTGAGTACGTCAATGCCCTGGACTGGATCTACGATTTCTTCGAACCGGGACAGAAATCTAATAGTGGGGCCCCCTCTCCAGCGTTTAGATAAATTGTTAAAAAAACTCACAAATATTATATATTGGATAGCATTGTATTCTGCAATATAATAAAACGCACTTTTGTATTTAACACTCAATTTGTTAGTGTTGTACTAGGCGGTGAGTGTATTTAATGAAAGTGTGTAGATATGTGATGCTAGACTAATTTATACACCAATATAATATAATATGTATTCTTTCTTACCTGTTATTCCTGTGAAGTTAAAGTCAAATAATAATTTATTCCATAGGTAAAATTTTTACACCTGAAAACGTAAGTTTTACTACTACTGCTCGTTCACTACGCTGACCTCCCTGAGAAGAACGAGCAAGAAACTCTAGGGATTGCTCTTTTCAAATAAACTTAAGTGCTATTGAATACAGTTTGAATCATAATTGTGTGGAATCTAGACTCTTGTTGTCTTTACATACTTCTTTATCTAAAACGTACTCTTCAATTTTGTAATATGACTTTTCAATTAAAATACTTTTAATGTAAGTTTTAAACTTAGGAAATGATAGTCTTAATATATTCTCCGGAATCTTATAGTAAAAACGTATACAGTTCCCCAAAAAGAATCGTTGACCATAGTTAAGCGAAATCATGGTACCATGAGTTTGGACTTAGTTCTAAAGTTAATATTATGGATATCTTCTTTCTTAATGAAATTATGTATATTTTACAAAATATTTGAATAAATGTACTGTGAAATCGTTTATTTGCGGTACAGTAGTTTAAATTTATGATTTTGCTAATAATTATTATTTATATATAATAAATAACGCTGATTATTCGCGCGCAATCAACCCCATAAACAAACAGTGATCATCTCTTGACTTTCGACCATTTGCGTTTATTCGGCTCAACTCGTGAAGCCCCTAGTTTCTATATGAGACGAGGATTCCCCTGGCAAAGACATCACGCACACTATGCACAAGCTCAAAAACGACAGATACGTTCTTAAATCAACTTAGGGTGTGTTCAAAAACCAACTAGCAAGGAATATACGATAGAACAACGTGCGCTGGATGTTGGACGTTTGTGAAACAATTTTTTTTTTAATTTATTTATTTATTTATTTATATCAGGTAACAAAGACCTATATATAGACCTATAGTATACATACCTTATAGACTAACATACATAACAATATAAAAACAAAATACACCTATATTATATATACCTTAAAACAAACATACGGATCATTGTCATTTTAATGAAAATACGGTGTGATCGGGGTATTACTTAGTAAAGCAATATGAAATTAATAGTTAATGTTTGTTTTTTACATAGTTCTAGGTGGTTTGTAAGAGACTGTATAAAGACAAATTTATTAAATAACATAATTTTTATTTTAAAATAAATTATTTATATGAAAATGTCACTTCCCGGGATGTGACCAACCCATATTTTTAAATGTAATTAACTACCTTAATTAATTTTCTAAGTAATACTGCAAAATTAGAATACTACACTAAACTACATTAATATTAGGTTAATCTTAACTATTTATATCTTACCTAAGTGAAAAACTACCTACTAAGAAATAGAATTCAAACATGTGACCGAATTTTTTGTCACATCCATGGAAGAAAGTCACAACGTCTTTTTAACATGGATGCACAGCTCGTATATCCGAACATGTGATGCATAGACAATATAACCAGTGTCATTTCCGAAATCAATTGTCATTTTTACCGGCGAACGCTTGGTTTGTTTGTGAAATAAAAAATAATAAATTAGTTTAAATTCGTCGAGCATAAGTGGTCACAACTGTGTTTAGTTGTAAAAGTAAGTATCTTATTGCATTTTGCTTTTATTACGCTGTTTATAAAGGTTGAATGGTAAAAAAATTATTGACGAAATTATAGCTAGCAGTTGGCTTTTTGAGGTTAGATATTTGCTTTACAAACGAAATTTGTCACATCCATGGATGTCACTTTCATGGATTCCGTGGAAATTTTCTGTCCATGGAAGTGACTAATCTTCCATAGAAGTGAATTTTGATCAGTTTGTGGATGCTGTCTTTTTGAATCGATTTGCAAAAATGGAAGTTCATGTGTAGTAATGACAAGAGGTCAGAATAGGAAAAGTATATTTTCCTAAATTTCAAGTCATCAACTTAGAGTAGATAATATCTACCTCTGAAATCCCTGAATCCGCCTAGTCTGTTCTCTGGTAATATCTTACTCTACTTTTTCTTCAGCGGCGGTTCAGATGACTTTATGAATTTATTCAGTTACGTTTCATTTTTTCTATTTGTTTGCATGTTTTTCTATTTGTTTGCATGTTTTTCTTCCCAGATGCCCAAAAACAAACGTCCAATGACTGCTGAAGAAATACGACAAAAGAAACGAGAATGCGAACGAAAACGAAGAGCTCGTATTAAGGCCGACCCTGTTTTATATGCAGCTAGCAAGAAAAAAGACAATGAGCGTTATGCTCAAAAACGGTGTAAGAAACAGGTTAAGACAGTTAATGAAATGACGCCAAGAGAACGGCGAATTCAACAACGTGCATGGCGAGAACGCAAAGCTAGGAGTAGGTCCAATAAGAAGCGCGAAGAACAACTCTTGCAGAAATTGAAAGAGAATACACCAGAAACTAGTGCTGATGAAGAAAACAGAGCTAGTCCTACACATAAAGTATTCGAACTCGCTCTGTCTTCTCCGACGTCTTCGTTTTCCAGCGGGTCAATAGGTAATCGAATTCTTAGATCGTCTCCAGCAACAAATGAAGAATCTCCCAGCGTCTCTCGGCTTAGTTCTTCTTTATGTAGACAAAAGCTCACGGGTCTTCAAGTCGCACGGAAACGACGCGATAAAGATAGTTATCAGATAAATAATCAGAAGTCATTAATAATTCGTATGAAAAAGAAGATTCATGCATTAAGAGTGAAACTATTACGGGCTAACTGTAAAATACAAAAATTTAATGAAAGTCCTAGAAATATTTCGTCCACGCAGATTGTCACAAAGAGAATTAAAAAATTACATGCTGCGGTTGTAAATTTCTTACAGCGGGATGACAACAGTAAGCTATGTCCTGGAAAAAGAGATGTCATTACCAATCATAAAATGAAAAAACAAAAACGTTACCTTTCTGACACACTTTCCAATCTTCATAAAAAATTTAAGTCTGAATGTAATGTACAAATCAGTCTTTCAACATTTTGCCGACTACGTCCTTTTTGGGTCGTATCTCGGCAAGTTTCCGAGAGAGATACATGTTTGTGTGTTACGCATGAAAATATGCAACTTAAATTCGAAAATCTAAAATACTTGGGAATATTAAATTCTGCGAACTTAACCGAGCTGTGCAAGAGCGTAGTGTGCGATTCCACTGAAGAGGCTTGTATGTTGCGTCAATGTTTTGTGTGTATAAATAAGTCGCCAGATATAAAACCATTTGATGGTGATGATAACACAACATATAAGATGTGGTGTACCGTAAAGGAGTCAAGAATTATCAAAGGCAAAGAAAAGGAAATTAAAAGAACAGTAAAACAAGAAAAAATGGTTACGAAAAAAGAGCTTGTAGTATCTTTTTTAGAAGATCTGAATATTTTTTTTGCAACATCAGTATTATATAATGCACCAATATAAAAATATCACATTTATCAAAGACAACCTTGGTGCTGCAGAAATTTTCATGCAGATTGATTTTTCACAAAACTATAACTGTAAATATACAAATGAAATACAATCAGTGCACTTTGGAGCATCCAGACAGCAAGTGAGTCTTCACACAGGAGTCTATTATTACAGATGCCCCAATACGCAAGAAGTAAAAAGTCGTTCTTTTTGTACAATGTCTGACAATTTACGTCATGATGCATCTGCAGTTTGTGCTCATCTTCAGGAAATCCTCAACCAAATTGTCTTACCGCATGAAATCCATACATTACACATCTTAAGCGACGGGCCTAGTGCACAATACAAAAATAGATATATGTTTTATCTGTTTACACAGTACTTAAGAAGCTGTTAATATTTTCTATGAAAAACTATATGAAATCATTAGAGCACATACACCTTTATCACGGCCTAAAAATTCTCATTTCCCTGTCTGGTTCTCTCCTGCACTTATTCATATATATAAAAATAAAGTCAAATACTGGATTAAATGGAAGGTGTATGGAAATATGTCTGATTATGAGGTATTTTCATTGTATAGGAACAGGTTTAAATCAGTATGTGATGTTTGTTACACCAGATATCTATCAAACATAGAGAATTCTATCTGCAAAAATATAAAATATTTCTGGTCTTACATGCATAATCGCCAGGTAAAGTCTGGTATACCGGCACAAATATACTTTAAAGATGAGTGTTCAAATGATCCTCAACGAATATGTGATATCTTTTCTAATTACTTTGCATCTATATACAGACAATCAACGCTTGATGCAGGTAGCTGGACCCCGCCATCTATTTGTTCTGATAATTGTACACTAGTATCTAACTTATATTTTTCAACTTCTGCCATTGAGTTACAATTTAGAACCCTTGATTCTTCCAAGGGGCCAGGACCTGATGGGATACCGGCGCTGTTTGTGAAATTATGTGCAAAGTACCTATGTATACCAGTACAAATTATTTTTAATAGATGTGTTGCCGAAGGTTTTTTCCCTGTAATCTGGAAAACTGCAAATATTATACCCGTGCACAAAACTGGTACGCGCCACGACGTGGAGAATTACCGTCCAATTTCAATCTTGTGTGCGATGTCGAAGGTCTTCGAGAAACTGGTACACATCCAATTGTATCCTATGGTTAAAAATAATATAATCCCGGAACAGCATGGTTTCGTGCAACAAAAATCCACAGTGACGAATCTGTTATTGTACATGGGATATTTGTTTGAAAATATGGATAGACGTATCCAAGTAGATGCAGTGTACACGGATTTTAGGAAGGCCTTCGACATGGTTGACCATGAGCTATTATTATATAAAATTGCATATAATGGGATTCGAGGTAACTTACTCCGCTGGTTCGCATCATACGTTTCAAATCGATGCCAAAAGGTTATTGTGAATGGTTACCAGTCTAACACTACGGTGGTCACTTCTGGGGTCCCGCAGGGGTCAATTCTTGGCCCTCTTCTTTTTGTAATTTTTATAAATGACATTAAAAACTGTTTCCATCATACAAATTTTCTATTATACGCTGATGACTTAAAAATTTTCAAAACTATCAAAAGCACCAATGACACCACTTTGTTTCAAGAGGACCTCGACCGATTAAGTACATACTCTAATATAAATAAACTTGAATTTAGCATAAGTAAATGTAATGTCATCTCATTTACTAAAAACAGAAATGTCATTGACACCGTGTATGAACTTTGTGATGAAGTTCTTGATAGAGTTGATACCCTGCGGGATCTTGGAGTTTTTCTGGATAGTAAGTTACATCTAGACTACCATGTTGAGAATATAATAAGTAAATCTTACCGTATGTACGGTTTTGTGACAAGGTCAGCTATGAACTTTCGGAAGCCCACTACTCATCTTCATTTATTTAAAACATTAATACGCTCGCAGACTGAATATGCGTGTGCTGTTTGGGACCCCTATTACAATAAATATGTGGTAAATATGGAAAAAATCCAACGTAAATTTCTTAAAGGTATAAATTATAAACTATGTAATAGGTTGAAATTACCATATAATGACTCTTTAAAAAGATATAACCTGCTCTCTTTAAAATCTAGACGTGTTCTTCTGCAAGTGATGCTATTACATTCTCTTTGTCATAATAATATAGATTGTATAGATCTTGTCAATAAGCTATCATTCTCAGTACCCAGGCAAGCGGTACGGCGTGCAGGGCGGTTACATGCTTATACATTATTCACCTTAGCGCAGTGCCGCACGAACTCGGGCCTAAGAGTTCCCTTGCGCCGGATCTTCCAATTGTATAATGCTCATTTCATGGGTAGTGATATTTTACACCTGTCCAAAACGAAGTTCCGAAAAGCCGTAATTGAAACCCTAACTATCACCTGAAGCTCTCATTTAATTTAGTACGCTAATTAGTTCTGCATTCTTTGTACCTACCTACCTGTTGTTTGTAGTAATATGTAACAGTATTTTAATATTTGTAAATAATTTAGTGGCAACATGATTTCAGTAATCTGTGGACAATGTAGTTGGCAGTACATATGTATATAAATTTGTTATAAGACTGTTCTGTAAATTGTTTGTACTACTGTTTTTTGTTCCAAATAAAATAAAATAAAATAAAATAAAATACTTAGCGAAGAAGTCCAATTGTAAGACTGCAACATGGAACTTTTCCGTAGCGGGTCATGGCAAGGGGCCCATGGATGGAGTAGGTGCAGTAATTAAACGAACTGCAGATCGTATTGTAGCTCAAGGTACAGATGTACCTGACTTTAAAACATTAGTAAAGTGTGTTAGAGAAAACACTACTAACATCATAATTTCGACAGTTACAACTATGCAGATTGAAAACATTTCTAATATTTTACCAAGATCCATAAATAGCGTCTCTGGGATTACAAAAGTTCATCAAATGACGTGGGACTCAAAGGACCCCCGAAAAATTTATTTACGCAAGTTAACATGTGTAAAGTGCCCACCAAGTACACGGTGTCCTCACATGTCTTTATCAAAAAGTTGTTTTTATTTTGAGGAACATATTAATGAAAAACAGCATGTGGAGATTGAAGATGAAAATGAGAATGAGAAATGTATGCAAAACGAAGAAGAGATGTGTGTATTTGGGCACAGTAATAAAGGTGACCATAAAAATAAATATATAAATTTCTGGGAGGATGAGGATGAGGAGTTATTTTAATTTATCGAATTGTTAGGTTTTTATGATTATTACACATTACAATTTCTAATATTTTTTAACATGTGTACTAAGATGGTATAAAATAATTTTAAAACAATTATGCTCAATTATATTAGTATTAATTTGATTAATCATGAGACTGAGATTAATAGTGACATTAATGAACAATTATAAGTATTATGTTATAATACCTAATAAGAATATTACGAAGTATTATATTATCCTGATATGAGTATTAGAATAGAATATAATCATTTATTTCACATTATCAATTTCACAATATAAAGCTTAATACTATGTCAGAGGATAACATGATCGTCAGTAGTTATGTACATAATGTGTCGATAGCACATTATGGTCTCCAGGATCGAGAGCTAAACCAGTAATACTTAAAGTTCCTACATATTAAGTACATACCTGTATATGAAAGTAAATTGTTAATATTTTTGTGTTGATTTGTTTTTATTATAAGGATAAAGAGTTGTAATTATAACGCTTATTAAAGTTAATTTGGTAAATTATTCTTTAAATGTCACTTCCAAATTTTAAGTGTCACTTCCATGTCATTTTCGTAGTCAGAAGTAAAAAACACCCATACATACAATATAATAATAAAAACTAATCTACACGATTTCCCTTTTCGGCGACGTGTGGCGCAATCTGGTGTCAGGTAACCGGCCGCGGAATCGCCGATATATGACACCCTTCGGCCAAAATTCCTCTTTCATGAAGGTCGAAAGATGTTCGGTCGGTATTCTCACCACAAACGAATTGAAGTTCACGTTGCGGCGAGACTCCAACCGCTCGACACTCAGGGTGTATTTGGTATTTTTATCATATTATATTATGATTTTCGCGCCCCTTGAAAGAGCCACCCGGGGCAAGTGTCCCGGTTTGGCAAGGTTCGTGACAGGATTTTATACTGATATTCGCAGGTGGAGACAGTCGGCACGGTATACATGCTGGTGTCAGGCGCTCCGGAGAGGCGGCGAGCTCATGCAGCTTCTGCCGCCAGTGCCGCCCTCGCCGTCTCACGTGCATTGCCCGTACTTACCATTGGTAAGCAGTTAAGATATAATCAATAAATAGGTCACTACTATGATATTTCAGATTGGCACCAAACCAACTGCTAGACAAATAACTTTTTATAAAAAATACAACCTCAAAAGTTCATGGTATTATACTCGTATCTATTTGCCAAGTTTTATTGAAATCGGTTACCGGAATGTACGCGAAACCGGATTCATCCCCTAGTTTGCCACCCTTAGACGTGGAATATTTTCTTCAAATTCAAATTGGTCCAACAAAAATAGAGAATCATCAAAATCAGTTCATAAATTCCGAAGTAATCGCATAACGTGGGTACATACAAAAAATACAGTCGAATTGTTAACCTCCTCCATTTTTGAAGTCAGTTAAAAAAGATTGTATGAATAAGTATATTAACGCTTTTGAAAACTCACAGGTATACATTCAGGACCATGTGTTGCTGGAGTACTTGGCCTGAAGCTCCCTCGTTTCTGCCTCGTGGGGGACACCGTCAACACTGCTAGCAGGATGCAAACGACATCAGAGGTAAGCAAAATGTGTATAAACCCGTATTATGGTCTACAAAAATTATACCTACGATTTATCTATTGCAGCCCGGCAAAATTCATGTGTCGGCACAGACCGCGGCCGAACTGCCCTCCGGCAAGTTCCGGTTACGAAGTAGAGGACCTATAAAGGTTAAAGTACGTATCCAAAAATAATGAAACACTATAAAAACACTCTAGGTACTAACTACGATAAACTAAATGGGGTAAAATTGGTATATAAAGAGTTATATGTGCAAAACGTGCCTTTTCCATAACGAATTAAAATAGCACCTGGATATTTTTGTTCTATTTCTTATAAAGAAAATATGTTTTGTTTTTAATATTTTTTATGGACTTAAGAAAACCTAATTAAAATATTTAGAATAATTTAAATTTATAATAGGTATGTATAACAATAATTTTCCAATTTATTTATAATGGCTCCATTGAATTCCACGATGATTTTGCCAATGTTAGGATTAAAAATGGTTCTGTGATATATGATTATTAATGGTTTTTAAAAAATAATATAATAAAATAAATATATATAATAAATAAATAAAATTAATGGCGAACGGCGCCAATATCCTATTGAAGTTACTCAATAATTTTTGGTAAAATATATATAAATTAAATTATGTCGTAGAGTCGAATTATGACAGCAAGATTTTTCGGAACTTTTAGTATTTCATTCAGTTATTATCTACACAAAACGATACCTCCAATGAACACTACGCCAACTTTATTTTTAGGTCATTTCTTATTTTTGTAAACAGGCATAGGTATTTATTTACAAACATTATGCGCCCCAAATTTTGCGAAAAAAAATAAAGTAACAAAAAATTTGAAAAAAAAAACAAGTAAAGGAATTTTGTGAAAAAATAACGAAACAATAAACAAAATGGAAACAAGGTCAAAAAATTATTTTGGCGTAATGTTCATTAGTTGCATCGAAAAGTTTTCAGTAGCTTGTCAAATCGCAGTAATATTCATATTTTGAGTAAGCTCGTTTTTAATTTACTTTTCGGAGCATTTATATCTACACTATATTAATGTCCTTACTCCGTCCATTCTTTTATTTTGACGACAACCGTGAATTTTATTTTATTTTTAATTTAACATACAAATGAGACTCCAGTGACTGATATAAATTATATTATGATATTTTTCACTATACCTACATCCAAACAAAACAAACCACGACCTTTCTTGTCAATAATGTTTTTGCAATGGCGGCCGCCCGTTAGCGTTCCGTTGATTCGATGATGATATCGATTTATTTGTTATTTCGATAAAACTAATTCTTAATGAAGCTAAGTACCCAAATTTTCTAACAAAATAAAATAAAAAAACGATTCATTAACCATGGTCGAGTGACTTGCATAATACTTTTCATGGTACATGGTACATCTCTAAGGTCCCGGGTTCGATCCCCGGCCGGTTCGATGTCGAAAATTAACTTTTCTATTATAATCTCGGGTCTGAATGTTTGTGCTACTTTACGATAAGAGCACCGTACCTATGTGATGTTGTCTAATATATATTTATATTATTAAATATTTATATTCTTTTCACAATTAGATATTTATCTTATCGCATACAAGAGCAAGCGATTGTTTTCCATACTTTATAATATTTATTTAACACCTCACCAGGGCAAAGGCATGATGGAGACATTCTGGCTCGAGGGTGAAGTGGAAGAAGATGAGCAAGACGAGGCGTTGCAACTCTTTTCTGCACTTTGCGGCGAGTAGTGACAGCATCCACGGAGCTAACAACTTTAGCATAGCGAACTATGATTACCAATATTTTGCGTATTAACTACGGGTACACCTAGTTGTTTAAGACCTTAATCTATAAGGTCCAAAAAAATTAAGCAAATTGGGGGTCTACCATAACCTTTCCAAAAACAATCTTATTTCAATCTTTTTTATGTTCCGAATCGTCTTATCGTAGTAAAATGTTTAAGTAGGTACTTAATGTTATTTACATTCAGAGAAATGTTAAAAAAAGAAAAGTATGTAATAATAAAATCTATTAAAATTACGTTGTTTTCAATTATTTTTCCGCATTTTCATGAAGTAAAATAAATAAAACAAACTGAGGGACGTATTCTAGAACTCTACTCAATGCTCAATTCATGATGTGAGTATGGTTTAAAGCACTCGAAATCATACTCAAGTCCCTGCCATTAGGGTCTTTGTTTGGATATTCCAGTGCTTGTGTTGCCAGTGCAATCCTGACTTGAGCATTGAATAGAGTTCTAGAATACGACCCTTAGTCTTGATAGTCACGTCGTGAATTATTGTCAGCTGTTAGTGACGCCAAGGAGCATATAGATGTCGCTGTCATAATTTTACGAAATAAAGATCGCGTATTTTTATGTAACGAGAAATGAATTCCCATGTACAATTAATTAAAAAAATAAACAAAATATTGAAGAGATTTATGTAAATAAATAAGTTCATCTTAACTTTTAATCATTACAAATCAATATTTAGACAATACATTCTAAAATAATGTTGTTTCCACTGCGTTCAAGAAATTATTTAAGATTGGTAAATTTGACATAAGAACAATATAACTTTAATGTTAAAGCCGCGTCATAGTACGAACTAAGTGAATAAATAGTCACAAGGCTGCCAATAAAATAAAAAACATAATAGTTTTAACATTATAATAAACTTACTTAATAAGCGCGTCATGGTACGAAGTCAATGTAAGGTTTGTTTTAATAGGTTGTGGTAGGTCCCCTAAATCTCGTTGGCTCGCTATTAAAAAAAGACTGCCATATAAAGCGTGTCTAATTCTGTATATTATGTGGATCTGCCGCGATCCCGACCCGACTCGCAACCGCTCTGTGTTTCACGTTTTATGTAGATAAGTATGCACTGTCACACACACTATTTTAGTAATACAAACGGTAATTTTTGAAAGGTAGGTACCTATAAGTTAGTTACCTTCTTCGAAGGGTACCTATAAGTACCTATATTAAGTCTTGTAATAGCTGTGGTAGCCTAATAGTTTAGTAGACCTGCCACCTCTCTCGCCTGTACAATGACCAGTGTTCTGAAGAACTGTTTGATGTGATGCCTGCAACAAAACTTTATCGTCGCACCGCTCGCCACCGGCAGGGTGTCCATTCTCACACTCTGGAACCGTGTCGTTTTCGTACTTTTTTTCGTACTGTACTGTGTGTAGGTACTGTTTAGAGGAGCTTTCTCCCATGTACAACAGTGACGAGGCGTCCATATAACTAGATTCCCACGGCTTGCCTAAAGTTTTCCAAGTTGTGCTCACTTTTACGTGTGGAATAATTAACCAGTGAAATGAAACGTAATAAAATAATATCTCGTGTGCTAATACGCGCTGTGTTTTAATTGTCGCCAAGGCGCCACTTGTTAAAGCACTTTTTTGTTTTCCTCCGGCTTTATTAAAGACAATTTTCACGCCACGCCTGACGGGGTTTTTCCGTAAAAATATAGCACGGAGCCCTTCAAAAGTGGTTTTAGAAGGATCCTAAAGGGTTGGTAACGCACTCGTGGCGCACCTGGTGTTGCAGATGTTTACAGGTGACGTTGATCGTTTTCCATCAGGCGGGTCGTATGCTTCACTGCTGCCTACATAATATAAAAAAATAAATAAAAAAGGCAGAGATTCGTGGGTTTGAACGCGGTCTTGCACCACGGAGTTAAATTTACCATGAGCTATTCGATGGAGGAACCATCGTGACGAAACCTGCAGAGCAATTTAATATGTGTGAAGTTCCCAACCCGCGTGGGAACTACAGCCCAAACCCTCATAGTGAGAGGAGGCCTGTGCCCAGCAGTGGCTCTATATATAGGCTAACTATTACATTTAGGAATGACTTCATAAATTGATTGGACCGGATCGGGCATCAATGTCAATGGCCAAAATCTTACACACCTTCGTTTTGCCGACGACATCGTTATAATGGCAGAATCGCTGCAGGATCTGCAGAAAATGCTGAACAGCCTTAACGCTGCCTCATTATCGGTAGGTCTTCGGATAAATTTGGACAAGACTAAGGTCTTGATCAATGAGCTCGTCATCCCGGAGCCGATGTCGATTAATGGCGAAACGCTCGAAGTTGTCCGAGAATATGTCTACCTCGGGCAAACCCTGCAACTAGGCAGAGAATGGAATATGAAATATGACGGTGAAACTGGTTCACAGACTACATGTCGCTCAGCGAGCTATGGAAAGGTCTATGGTGGGTATCTCGTCCAGAACGAATAAGACTAAAGTTGTGGACATCGTCCAGAAATGTAGCAAGCTGAAGTGGTAGTGGGCTGGCCACATCTATCGCAGAACCGATGAGCGATGGAGTAGACGGGTTCTCGAGTGGAGACCACGTCTCGGCAAATGTAACGTAAGACGTCCCCTTGCAAGATGGGCCGACGATCTGAAGAAGGTCGCGAGTAGTGGTTGGATGCGGAAAGCGGGTGATCAGGCACTATGGCGTACACTTGGGGAGGCTTATATCCAGCAGCGGACTGCAATAGGCTGATTGACTGATTGATTAAAAACAAAATTTAGAGAGACGTCACCTAGACATCATTGAAGGGAAAAACTTCGTATGCACACTTTTTTCACTCAATAATAATAATAATAACGTACACACTCACGGCCTCATACTAGGGACACCCTGTATCGCGGGTGCCATGGACACACACATAGACAACCACAAATTACGTCCAAACTCACGAGAGAAATAAATGTAGGCCATAGAAATATTACTCCCGGCCCGGGAATCGAACCTGGGACCTCTACGTGGCTGTCCAGGATGGTAACCGTTCGGCCACAGAGGCAGTTAAAGACTCAAAGTCCATAATGAGCGTTTTCCAGTAATTATATCAAATGTCAACATCAAAAAGTACCGGGTAAGCAGCTTTGCAGTGGCAGTTGTCGCTAACGGTCGCGTAAAGTATTAACAATTTTATACGGCAATTTGTACAGCGCCCTCTAGTGGAACACACAAAATAGGCGCCTTGGCGTCGAGTTGCAAACACCAGCCCGTTACACCAAGTACCAAGTGGTCCCAAGAAGTAACATTTCAGATATAAATTTTTTTACGCGGTCGCTAGCGACGAATGTGCCTATAAACTCATGGTTAAGGTACAGAACACCTGTACCACGGGTTTACACCCGCAGTTGTCGCTAGCGCCTTTTCTTCCCCGAAGTATCGAAACAATCATTCGTAAACCATACATTTACATATACTTTTAGTAGCAGTAGAACTCCTTGTGAAAGAGTTCGTCCAAGGAATATTGAATATTAGGGTATTGCCACGTTACATATTTCTGCCGCCAAGCAGCAATGTCAGCATTACTGTTTTTCGGTTTTGAAGGGTAAGGGTGTTGGTGAAATTACAGGCACATGGGACTTGTCTACTTATGTCACAGGGTAACGGGGGCAGTAGCAGTGCCCCTCAGATCTTTACGATTTAAAACTCTGAGTGGCACTGCAACTGTTATAGATAGGATTAGGTAGGCTATTAGGCTAGGTGTAGCTTCTATCAGGCGCACGACTTTTTCGTCCCGTCACTTGATGTTATAAAAAAACAGTACAGAGTACTAAAAAAACCGACCTCAAAAGTCATTCATTCCCTGGTTTGCCACCCTTAAGGGTGGAATATTTTCTTCAAATTTAAATGGGACCACATCTGAGGTACCCTCTTTCCATCAACATCGGTTCACAAATTTATTTAGCCGGTGCTATCGCGTAACATACATAGAAAAAAAAGCATACGGTCGAATTGAGAACCTCCTCCTCCTTTTTTTGAAGTCGTTTAAAAAAGAAAACGTGACACCGAAGGTGTGAGAATGAGTAAAAAGTCCTGATTTTCACGCTAGTGTGACATAGCAGTGTCGATTCTCATGACGTCTTCAAATTAGACGCTTATAGAATCAGTGACGTCACTGTGGCGCTGCAGTTGGCAGCTACTTATTAAAGCACAGTTGCAGCGCCATTGATGTAACTCGCGCGCAACTTTTGCAGTCACAATTAGGCGCCGAGTAAACGTGTCTTGTGTTGGATGCAAGCAACCGGCGCTTCTTCAAGAGTCTAATTTGAAGGCGCCCTAACACTTGCATGGAATAGTAACAACAAAAGAAAAACCAAATTGTTTTATAAATAATGATTTTAATGTCAACAAACGAATTAAATTCGTATTTTTTATTTCTGTTTTTAATTATATTATTTAAATATTGTATGTATTTACTTAAAACTAACTATTTTGTAATGCTAATAGGTGTATTATAATATCACGTAATAAGTAAATCTTTATGTTGAATTAGGATGAGGAATGAAATTGTAAAGTTTTAACTAAAATAAATTAATTAAAATAAAATAGTAAAAAGTAAAGACAAATTCAACTATTAATTTTCAATTAAAATATTTTGAAGAAATAAGTAACACGATATAGTTACTTTAACGACGACTAACACCCTCAATTTTCACATTAAAGAGTTAATAGCCGTGTTAGAAAAATGTCATTCAAACATCCTCAATTTCAAACGTTAGTACTTATGCAACCTATAAACCTATCTACTTAGGTCACCAACGATATCTTGACCGTTATACCTTTTAAAATTTTCTCGATTAAAAGAAATTTACGGTGTATAAGTAAATATACCAAAAAAATTCAACCTATAAAAAAACTTCCAAATCATACCAGTATTAAATTTTTAATGCAACATTAAATTTTTTTAAATAGTAAATAATACTGTATATTTTTTACGATTTCTAATATTCACAATAGAAATTAAAACTGTAGTTGGCACTAAGTATCTAGGACGGCGATAATTTTATTTATAAATATTTTAAGTCTTACTTACATGGGTAAATACAAAGTCAAATATTATAAAAGAACTCTGAAAAATTATATTAAACATACTATCAAATGTCACCTACATGTATGTTTTGTAGGCCATGTTGGGCGCCAATATTAACAAATCGATATCGATAGACGCGATCTTCGAAAAAGATTTTGTAAATCGATTATCGAAAGTCTTATCGATTAAAATTTGCATGATTTTGAACCACAATATCGACAGGGCTACCGGTTTTATATAGGGCTAGTTGGTTACCTGTAAAACCCTTTGCATAATGACGTTCTCGATTCCATATCGATCCATGTAAAAAACCATAGGCGCTTTTAGTGTCATCTCTGTTCAGCTACCAAAAAAATGCCAAAATTGTACTGCAAGACAAATGTTGCAAAACACAATTTTTTTGTATATCTCGTTTTAGACTCGAAAATATACATAATACACAAAAAGATACTAATGTTCAATGTACAATTACATTACTATAATTATAAATAGAAAAAGAAAGTTTCTAACCAGTTAAAAAAAAATAGAATCCTAAGGCACTTGAAAATACAGTATAAAACTTAAAAGTGAGTAATTAACATACAATATAAAAGGATTATTCTCAACTTTATAACGTCGAATATTAAGAGTACATTCCATAGCGACAGTATATATCAGGCTTTTAGTTTTTCTAAATTAGTTTAGTATTTAGTTTTTCTAAACTCTAGCGATCTTGCGACCGACAAACACAACATTTAACTCTTTGAGCAATTATTGTAGAAATGTAACAAATCAAAATGTTAATAGAATGAGACACATGAGTTACTTTGCGGAAATAAAAATGGAAGTGAATTAATTCGCTAGTTCACTAAACCAGTAAAGGTGCTACATAGCTGCGCTTGTGTTGAACTTTTCATTTTAATTTTAACACCGGTTTAAATTAATAAAATAAATAACAGGCTTCACTGGAATGAAATTAGCAGAACGGTGTGACAGTCTTCCAGCTTTGTAGCTGCATTAGGCGTCGTACAGCGTGAGTTGACGGTATCAGTTCAATTAAGCGTGCAAAGGGTACGACAGGCACAAAAAAAAATGAGTACAAGACGTTTATGATCCACACCAATACATAATACCTTAGCTTACATATGAAAATTAGACACACTGTTTCTTACTAACGACGTTATGACGTAGAGAATGACCAAAAACTATTGCGGCAACACATGCGAGCAATAGAGCGGGCCCGTGATTTCCAGGGAAGTGGAAACGCTTTATAAAGGGGGCAGGAAGTTTAACAACTGCAACGTCCAGAGACGTATGTGATTCCTGCCTAAAAAGAAAATTTAAACAAAAAAGTTGATCCTCGAACCTTTATGTAATAAGTGTAAAGAATCAAAATTCATAAATTAAAAATTTAGAATGCTTATAGAAGCGCCGCAGTGGCGCTGGAGCTGCGCAACTACTGAAGTCCATACAATATTTAGAACAGTCAGTCATAATTAGTGAACTAAAAAATACTGAAGCGCTACAGATGCGCGGCTACGGCGCCACAGTCGCGCTACTGCTGCGCTTCGACAAGCGTCTGATTGGAATACGCCCTTAACTTCGAAAAATACATACACAAAACAGATTAATAAAAAAATATTATAAACCGGTAAATATCGATGAATCTAATCTTTTTAATAATATCATAAATATTATAATTTTAATATTAATAAGTACGTAATATCGAATAGATTAACTTTAAAGTGATAGGTTCAGTCTTACTAATTTTATGCGAAACTGATAGAGGTATCTTTCGTTAAGACTACAATTCCATTTTGCAGTTTGAAAAATGTGAGATAAAGTCAAATATGAGAATCTTCTTGCGATGGTTTTTTGTTTCGAGCATTTTATTTACAAACCGCAAAATGGTTGTTGTAATCGCCTTATTGTGAAGATTTTTACAATGTATACCTGTAATAAATAGTTATTTAATTATTTTACGTTGTATCGGTTGAAATATCATAAGAACAATTTACGTTCTTTCTCTGATAATTTACAAGTTTTGTTGCATCATTCAAAGGGTGATTCCGTGCAAATCTAATAAATTTAAATTCAACAGCACGTCGAGCTTGGCACTTATTATTTAAATTCAGCTATATGCCGGTTAGCGCCTTCATATTAGAAGCACAGCAGTGATGCCACTGTGGCGCAACAGCTGCGCCACTGCTAAATTTCATACAGTATTTAGAAGCGCAGTTGTCGTGTCACGGTTGCCTAATTTTAAGGCCCCCTTAGGATAAAAACGATTCAAAGTCCAAAGTGTCCAGCTTGACGTGCTCTTTAGTGTACCTATATATTCATATCTAATAAAAGTACCATACGAGTACATTACCTATTTATCACAACTACAATTAGTAGTGCAGCTTATTCAAATAAATTCGCTTAACAATTATTCGGAATGTGTAAAACATTTGTGTTTCGTCAATTACGTATGACAATCTGTCTTTTGCGGCTGAGAGACTCTATAACTAATAGCTCTTATTAAGCAAGATACATGAAAGTTATTGCGCAAATTAACTTGGCAACTTACGGCGACAGCTGGGTACTTAGTTTCATTGTGCTCTGCGCATTTAAAAATTTTGAAACCATCATTGTGGTGATCTACGGCGCAATAGTTCACCTCAGAGAGCCCCACGCCCAGCCAGCTACCAAGCCAATACAAAGAAATAATTCAACTTTAAATTCAACTTGATTCCTTCAAATTACTACATTGCATTTCAAATTAGTTGTTATTGTTTGCTTAATAAAAATCAAATTTCAGGCCCAGTTGCTAACATTTTGGTAAACACGCTAATAAATATTTATATTTACTAATGAGACTATTTGAACAGAACTGTGACTTCCTCAATCGTCTTATTCTTGGTCTCGGGCAGTTTGAAATACGTGTAAACAAAGAATAATAGTAAAAGAATTGTGTATGGGATAAACACGTATTCCTGAAGTGCGTCTTTCATGGGAATGAAGGTTAGACCAACGATAAAATTGGCAAACCAGTTGACTAAAGCACCGACACTGACAGCGGCACTTCGAGCGCCCTGACCGAACAGTTCCGACAATATCATCCAAGGAATAGAACTCGGACCGACACCGAAGAACGCTACATACATCAGCGTAAATATAACTGCGAAAATGCTCATAGTCTGATTGTTCTTGGTTTGTAACGCTACCGTCATCAGAACTGAGAACACCGCCATTCCACCGAGACCCCACAGTTGCAGTGTTCGCCTTCCCAAACGGTCCATCAAAGGAATCGAAACTAATGCCATTATGAAGAGGATACTGCCAACTCCAATTGACGCCATTCTCGCAGGTTCTTCTCCTAATCCAGCGGACGTAAAGATTGTGTACGAAAAATATAAGACAGCGTTAATACCTCCCCATTGCTGTGACAAGTGCATTACAATACCGATCATTAGCGGTGTTCGCAAAGAGCTTATTTTAAACAGATCCTTAATGGAGAATTGTTGCTGTTCCTTCTCAGCTCTGTCCTCAGCGTACATGTCATTGATTTCGTCGTCAACTGTGTTGCTTGCTCGTATTTGAATTAAAGTTTCCCTTGCTTTCTGTTCATCTTTCATGGCAAGGAGAAGGTAACGAGGGGTCTCTGGGGCAAAGGGCAACATCATGCATTGGACTGCAGATGGAATAACAGCAAGTCCTAATAACCAGGGCCAGCCTTCTGCGCTACCGAGTATAGCGCCAATACCCAGAATCTGTCCGCCGACCAAACCAAATGCGACTGCTAACTGGTTAACTGTACCCAAGGCTCCTCTCAACGTCACTGGCGCCATTTCCGACACATAAGTCGGTGACGCAGTGGTCGCAAATCCACAGTTTATTCCAATGAAAAATCTACCCACAATGAGCATTGAGACTGAAGATGAAACTTTGCTAAAACCCATAAAAGCAGCGCCAATGACTCCGAAGGCCGCGTTTAAGAAAAGGGCTTGTTTGCGGCCGCGTTTCTCTGCCAGCCAGCTGGCGACCGGGCAGCCAATCATTCCGCCAACGGGGAATATAGCTACAATGACGCTAAACATAAGGCTTGCATTGTCTGGGTTTCCATTTTGCCTGATGAATTCTTCAATGAAGTCCCTTGGGGAGTTTATCACACCGGTGTTGAAGCCGAACTGCAGCATGCCCATGACAGCGGCGGCCACCGCGTACAGCAGTGGTCCTGTCACCCCGCCCGACATGTTGGCGCTTGGTGTCAGCCCTGAAATTGAAATGACATCTATTATTACTTATTATATTAATGTGTTGCAGTGCCCTTTATACCTCCTCTATATAGGTTACCTTTCAGAAGGTAAGAACGAATGTATGTACTTATATCCTAATTAATTAAGTCTCACTCTTCGGTTAGCCTACAAACCGTGTGGTTGGTTTTACTATGTTTAAAAGGTTATGAGTACTCATGTTTATTTTCAAAAAATGTTTGTAGTAGCTAAAAAATTGGTATTTTCGCGCGTAATCTATGACAGAATACCAAAGACCGGCTAATTATGTTGCCAACGTCCCGGAGTTATTGGGGCGTGAAATTATAACGAATGGGTTTTTGCGGTTGTTTCTAAAAAGGAAAAGAGCAGTACTGAAAGAACAGACGGCAGATGATCAGAGAACCTGAGCGAAGCTGATTAAAGTCAAATAATCATTTATACCATAGGTAAAGTTTTTACACTTGAAAACGTCATTTTTAAGCCACTGCTCGTTCAATACGCTGATCTCCCTGAGAAGAACGAACAAGAACTCTAGGGATTGCTCTTTTCAAATAAACTTATAAATGGAAATGATAACCTTAAAGTATACTCCGGAATGTTATTGTAAAAACGTATACAGTACCCTATAACAGTATCGTATACCTTAGTTAAACGAAATTGTGGTAGCATGAATTTGGACTTAATTCTAAGGTTAATATTACGGATATCTTCTTTCTTAATGAAATTATGTATATTTTTACGCGCATACAAAATATTTGAATAAATGTACTGTGATGCTACAGTCATGATACCAGTCTCCTTAAACTTTTCTCTGAGAGAAACCCGAGAACCTCGGTCGAACGGTACACGGAACGAATCGCTCGTTTTTGCAACACAAATATGTTTTGTATATCTGCCGCTTTACCCCACATAAGAATCCCGTAGAACGCTACTATGGAAGTAACTAAACTGTCAAAATATCTGTGTAAAAATATCGTAACCGTCGACTCGTCTTATACGTCTACTACGTCTCAATTGTAAATAATTTCAAAAACCTATTTGATGATTCATACTTTTCAAGAATGATTACATTATTACGTATAAGGGGCATTCATTATCCTGCATTGCAGTCCGTCTTGCCGTCCGCCGCGTAATGCAGGATTATGAATGTATAGTCACAGCATGCAAGCCATCCTGCAATCCTACAATGAGTCCTGGGAGGCTTCCTAAGTGGGTCATATGCAGGATGCCATTAAGACAAAACTTCTCGACATGGAAGAAAAGAATTCGATTTTGAATTTCAACTGGAATTGAACGAATTAAATTGAGAGCGCATTTGCAAAGAACAATAACCTATAAACGATAGTTTACGAGTAGGCATTTTATCTACTACAACTATTATATTATATTACTATTATATATTTATTACATTATATTACTGCAAGTATTATAGCGCAATGCGAAATGTTGTAGATCCGAGCCCCTGGACAATTAAAAATACCCAAAAGTATCAAATCTGAACAAAATATGTAATATCGAGGTCTTAGGTTTTCGCGATTGTTACACATAGGAAATGAAACTATTTTTCCGGGTTTAAATCGCATATATTTGTTTTTTCAAACAAACCGACGTTTGGGGCCCTGTACAGGTCCCATGGTCACGGTTGACTCAGTCACTTGACTGAGTGACTGACCCCAGAAATATCAGGGGATTCAGATTATATTACTTATTTTAATCCAGATAAAACTGCCTACTGTTTGTTGATGATTACAGTCGTATGGCATTTATATATATATATATAAATGCTCCTATATACATATTTCATTAAGAACAAGAATCAGAAGTCTTAGAATTTAAGGCAAAAATTGAAAGTAGCTTGACAAAAAGATTAAGATCTTAAGTTCTGTAATAATCAAGTTTGATTATTATTTTAAAGAAAGAAAAGCAATCATCCGTTTAATAGCTGAATTGATAATATAAATTATTCGCTCGCTCATTGCACAGGCAAATATGTAAATATCTTTGTTTGTAACTCCGTGTCATACAATATACTTCAAGAACTTTTTTAGTTTTATTTATTCAGTTGAACTGACTTATTGTAAGCAGCATGGAGTTGAATTTATATGTTATGTGTCACACTAGACATCAGAAACAAAGTATAATATCATTGCATGCTCTGGGACCCTACACCAGCTCCCAAAACAATTAAACATACTACAAAACAAATATATTGAGACAGACATAATTTTGAATGCGACAAGGCAAAGTGAATTGTTACAAACGAGAAATCACGACAACTTCATAATTTTTTTATAATACCTAGTGTCGGGAAGAGCAAGTCGTACCTGAGCGACACGCAAAGATCTGTGGAGCACTGCCACTGCGCCCGTCACCCTGAAAAGTGCCATGTGCCTGTAATTTCACCAGCACCCTCACCCTTCAAATACAGTAATTACAGTAATGCTCACGTTACTGTTTGGCGGCAGATAAAGGTAAGGTTAGGTTATGGGCTGCACTAGCCTGGACGAACTCTTTCACAAGGAGCTTTACTGCCACTGCATTATTGAAGCTTCATAGCTCCTGATTTCCAGACAGGAAAATTGGGCAGTCAACATTAAATTCTGCGAATAGGTGTGGTTTCGCAAAACCACTAACAAGCCTGATAAAACCTAAAAATATTGCAATCTTTTTCCAGAATGTGCGGGGACTCCGTACAAAATCAGACGAATTTTATGAGAACTTATCTCTCTCTCAAGCAGATCTATTTGCTATTACGGAAACTGGATGCAACGATTCAATCAAAAATGCAGAACTAGTCCCACCGAGATACACAATAATTAGATGCGATCGCGAGGATGGGCGAAAACACGGCGGCGCGTGTTTAATGGCCACACCACGATTCGAGCTACGTAAAGTAATCATCCCGGGTGAATTCAAAATAGATAAACAGGTGTTTGAATTAGTCAGTGCAACAGTGTACTTACGGCAGAGATTTTTGTTCTTATGTTGCGTGATTTATATTCCACCCGGTAATAGTGAAATAGACTATATGATAATGTTTAGAATTATAGAACAATATTGCAATATTTATGTTCGCGTCCAGCAGCAGTTTCGGATTATTTTGAATGCTTTCAAACTTATTAAGGGTTCACTCAGAGTAATACTATAAATAATTCTAAAGGTCGATTCTTAGATCTAGTATTGAGTACAAAGGACGGTTTGAGCGTGTGTGCGGCGATGTCACTCGTACCCCCCCATTCATACCACCCGGCGCTCAGTATCAGCGTGAATCTGCCGCGGCCTGGACCATGCCTCGCTTCCGCGCCATCTCGTTCGCCATATCTTGCCAATTGTGAACCGAACCCAGTACCTGGGGATAGCTCGCGACCAGTTGCGCGATGGAACTTCAATAAAGGTAACTTATTTCTTTTATATGCAACGATAGCAGCTATAGATTGGACTCCAATGTTCTATTTAGATTTAGAAAATAGTTTAAATTTCTTTTATGACCGTATTAATTATGTTATAGCCAGCTGTGGGCCGCGGAGAAAACAAAGTGGTACGAATCCGAATTACAACTACCCCGAATGGTACACTGGGGATATTATTAGGGAAATAAAATATAAACCTGTCTTCCATAAGCTTTATAAGTCGAGTGGTTTAGATGTAGATTATAGAAACTTTGCTAAGTGTAGGGCTAGGGTAAAGTAAGATAAGTGAAGCACACAAAGAATATCGCCACAGGGTTGAAAATCATTTGATGGAAGACCCCTTAGTGTTCTGGAACTGTTAGATCAAATAGAAATAGTAGGGATCCGCACCATATTCTAAAAAATAACACAGTATTGACAGGTGAACAATGTGTAGTAGAGTTTGCGAGATATTTCCACTCTGTTTATAGTAAAGACCGGCCGGATTTGGATGTGCGCGAGACTATAGCGAGCGCTGCTAGTGCTGCTAATGAGGGAGTGTGTATACATTTGGATCGGCTCGAGCTAGATGATGTGAGGAGAGCTCTGCAGCGGCTTAAGCCTAAACCATTCACGGGGCCAGATGGTATTACACCCTTCCTTATTAAGGACTGTCGAGACGTTTTGGCGGAGCCTTACTGCATATTTATAATCTTTGCCTGGTGTCGGCGGTTTTTCCCGAAAGGTGGAAGCTGACGCGGGTAGTACCGGGCCAAAGGGTGGGTCGTCATCTACCGTGGAAATATACAGACCAGTAGCAATATTGTCGACGCCGGCAATGGTCCTGGAGTCTGCTATCCACAAAGCTTTGTACTCACAGGTAAGCGCGCAGTTGACAAACTCGCAGCACGGGTTCCGTCCGGCACGAAGTACGACTAGTAACCTACTCAACTATATGGCTGACGTCGTTCCATTTGTGGATAGTGGGGTGCAGGTGGATGCAGCTTATTCTGATTTCAAAAAAGCTTTTGATTTAGTCGATAATGACGTGTTGTTACAAAAGCTAGCCAGTGTGGGATTCGCCTCACATCTGTTGAGGCTCTTTGCCAGCTACATGAGCGACTGTCAGCAGTATGTAGATTACACTGGGTACGTGTCTGATGCATATTACACCAGATCCGGCGTAAGTCAAGGCAGTAGTCTTTGACCTTTGGAATTCCTGCTAGTCACAAACGACTTGCCGAAGCAGGTACAAGATGCCAAGTGCCTGTTGTTTGCGGACGACCTGAAATTGTATGTGGCGGTACAAGATCAGGATGACTGAGAAAAGTTGCAGAGAGACATCGACAGAGTAGCAGCTTGGAGCCATGAGAATACGTTATAATTTAATACCGCCAAATGCGCAGCTATAACTTTCTCTCGCGTGCACAACCCAGGGTACACGATTACAAGGTAGAGAGATAACCCTGGCAAGGGTGAATGAGGTGAAGGATTTGGGCGTTCATTTAACTACATCGCTTTCGTTTCGAGATCATGTGTATAACATCTGCAAGAAAACGTGTCATAATTTGGGTTTTGTCCTGCGCATGTCACACAGTTTCACAAATGTT